TAGGCATTGGAGAACTCACACAGGAGAAAAACCCTATGAATGTGAACAATGTAGTAAAATGTTCTCCCGGAAGTCACAGTTCACTGTGCATAGTAGAATTCACACTGGAGAGAAACCCTATGAATGCTAACAATGTGGGAAAACATTCTCCAGGAAGTCATACCTCACTGGGCATAGGAGAACTCACACAGAAGAGAAACCCTATGAATGTGAACAATGTAGGAAAATGTTCTCTTACAAGTCAGATCTTACTAGGCATTGGAGAACTCACACAGGAGAAAAACCCTATGAATGTGAACAATGTAGGAAAATGTTCTCTTACAAGTCAGATCTTACTAGGCATTGGAGAACTCACACAAGAGAAAAACCCTATGGTTGTGAACAATGTAATAAAACTTTTGCCCAAAAGTCACATCTTACTGTACATCTGAGTACTCACAAGAGAGAAAAACAATGTAGGCAATATTTTACTACTGGAAAGCAGGGCTCATTGTTCACTGGAGGACTCCCATAGATGTGAAACCTTATGAATGTGAAGAATATAAGAAAGTTTTCTCTTAGAAACAGTTTTTAGTAAGCAACAGAAATGTCACACTGGGGAGAAACTTCATGAATGTAGGGAGTATAGAAAGTCTTTCATTTATCAGTCAGCCCTCAATGTACATCAGAGAAATCACAAAAGAAAAAAATACCTGAGAATGTCAATGTACCAATAGAAAAATCAAGTCAGCTCTTACTATATATCAGAGAACACAGGAGTAAGTTCTTTTCTTTTTTTTTGCAGAGGTTTTTGCTATAGGGTGTGTGTGCTCAACAGAAAGACAGAGAGAGACAGAGAGACAGAAAGCAAGAAATCACCCCCCCAGGGGGGATGGCCACACTGCAGTCCCTTTTCTTCTGTTCTCCTCTTGGGATCCTGGGCATGTATGCACATGTGCCCAGCGTGGGTTTAAGCCGCCGGGCCCAGGATTCGAACTGTGGTTGACTACATGGGAGTCCAGCAACATAGCCATTATGCTAACTACTGGTCCTGAGGAATAAGTTCTATAAATTGGAATGGTATAGAAAAATGTTTTCAGAGTAATCATTCCATACTTTCCATTAGAACACTCACACAGACGGGAAACCCTGTATGTATGGGAACTGTAGTAAAACCTTCAAGAAGCCAGAACTTACTGTGTATCAGAGAACTCTCAGATCAGAAATCCAATAAATGTGAAAAATGAAGGTATCTTTTTTTTTTAGAATTCAGTAAATGCGAATGAGGGAAAATCCTCAGTAATGTAAACTGTGCTATAAATCCTTGAAATATTCAAAAATATGAATTGATCTC